CTTTACATAAACACTTGACAGATCAAATTTATACAGGAAGTCAGTAAGATTTAGTAAACTAAAAGTGCTTTCGGTTTCCACAGGAGTTCTCCGTGCCGAATTTATTCCTTCAAGGGCCTACAGAGATTAATTCTTCAATTAAATACCACTGACGTGGAAGAAATTCCATTCTTCATTACTACACTTAATGAAAAGAATCATGTTTTTTATTTTAAAAACAGGAGAATTCGTAATGTTTTACTTTATGTAAATGCAGTTGCATACAGTTGCACTAAGAACTCAACGCAACTCGATACAGAATAGTATATATACAAATAAACTGAAAAATAATGTCCTCCTTACCTTCTGAACAACTTGTCCTTATTCCAGGATTATAATTTTTCCACCTATGAGCCTGAGTTATGTCTACGAAATCGCAATGTTACATCAGTTAAATCTTCCCCCAAAACCAAGGCCACTTGAAACCAATAGCAACATAGCAACAAGCGTCACTGAGGGGATATGCAATAAAGTCGCTCATGCAATAAAGTCGCTCTGCATTTAAAATACGTCAGCGCACGCTAATCTAACTAGTATTTTTTGCTTTTTTCAAATTATACTGTAAGTAAATGTATTCATTTCTTACTTAAGTACACCCTTTCAATCTGATTGCTCTTTTGAATGTCATTAGCACTCTCTTTTTATTTGGATCATCACAGCTTATCTTTGCCGAAATAATTTCAGAGCATTTAATGTTAGTCGCATTAGAAACATAAATTTAAGGGAGAAATAAGTATATTTCATAGTGGCGTGCTTCTAACGCATAAAAATATTAGACACGTTAGTTTCCCCTAACATATATTAAAAGTATGTTTAAGTTTTTCATAGGGATGTTGATGAGTTTATCTTCCCCATGAATTCATCCGAAGAACTATGATGAAATAGCAGAAACATAATAGATGATCATGATCATCATGAAAATGGCATGTGTGATTAGATTGTGGTGGAATGTAAGTCCATGTCTCATCTGTTTAAACGTGACAAGGTAATATTATAAATTTAAGTATGATGGGAGCTTGTAATCGGTAAGTAAGGAAGAAAGGTTAACAGCAACAGACTTAATCCCCGGAAGTGGAAAAAGCGCAGTGGGGGACACCGACCTACTACAGAAGTCCACCACAATAGAATTAACCAAGAACAAAACTCAGGTGGATAACAGATGGTCATAACCAAGAGGTAAACAAACGGAGAAATGTCGTCTCTCGTGGAAGGTGAAACGGGGCAAGTGACCACAACTTACTGCTCTTGAAAAAAGACTAAGACACCTGCCTCCAGGTAAGAATATCAGTCATGTTGGACCTGATCACTACGACAGGTTGATCATCTTTCACGATACTACAAAGTGAGAAAAATAGCACTCTTAGTCCAGACTCGAAGAAGACTTTGGTCTTATCAAACCTGCTATACACTGTGGTTATTCATATCCTCTACAGAATCTGCAAAAAAGTGACAGTAATACAGAAAAATCTACGTGCTTTCGCATGGTCAAAATGAACTCGAAAACTGAGAAAGATAGTATCATGAAAGCTGGTGGGAATTCCCCCGGTGTTGAACATATACGTCCTAATTTAGGGTATCAGCTTAGCCTGTCCATGAAATTCAGTCTCATTGATTTCACCTCCAACGGTCAGTTTATTTATCTGCGGTGACTGGATCAGACTGCGGATATCTGAGTTTCAAGGGGCGGTAGCTCTGCTGTGCGTTGTGATGTGACTGTGCACCTCTGTACTCTCTTCATTCTATTGGTAATAAGTACATCTCTGGACAGCAATGGATGTTATATTCCCTCTTTCTTTAGTTGAGTCGGTTGTAATGACAGCCCGGCCATTAGGTTATGCGGCCCAGGCTAAAGAGCTAGAAGTCTAAGGTTGATGTCCTACAGTTTAGACAGCCACACAACAATCGTGGGAGTTATTTCTATTTGAACACAATAGGATTTAATTAATAATTTAGTTAATTTTTCCTCCACATTCCCAGTGATACATTGGGCTTCGAGCTAGTGGATTGAAGTTTCTGTAGCAGTGGTGTTTATTTTTACAGGATGGGGTTGCTAGCCTTATGCCCAACGTTTCCTCTTTACCAGCATTATTTCTGGCTTAGCGAGGCAAAGATGTGCGTCCTAACCGCTGCGCCACCGACGCATTAAGAAGACGATAGGATACGAAGTGGAAGTCATTTACGAAGCGTAGTTAATTGTTTCTTTAGACTTTAGAATTATACCTGTTAGCGGACCATATGAAATGACGACCTGCTGGACGTAGTCAAACCTCGCCATAGTGCCAAGAAAAGCCATGCAATAAAGTTCAAATTCTGCTGATCCCCATGATCATGTGGTTGGTATGCGGAGGCAACAAAGTGAACTATTACTACGGTGAACAAAGATACAGTCTCATCAAGAAATACTTCATGTTGTTTAGTCCGGCTAACTAGGCAGATCCAGATGTTATCACCACTACAGAATGATGCTAACATCGAAAGTCAGCGACAAGGCAGAAATCCCACAAAAGTTCATCGTGCACGAGACAGGCTGACGAAACCATGGAGAATGTGAAGTAGTCATTTGCCTGGAAAATAACCTAGCTCTGTGTATCACAGAAGCACTACACACATAAGGTCATAAAAAGGCATAAGTTGCAGAACAAATGCGAGAAATATGACATTGAATTGATTGGAATCTATCGCAGTCCCAATTGCACAGAAGATGGTTTGCTTATAGTCTGATGGACATCAAAGTGTAGGCACCATATAGTCGTTAGTTTAAACACCGCATCACACCACTCACAGAACATAGGAAACGCATCATCAGAAAACACCTTCGATCACAAGCTCTTAAAAACTAACACATTTGTTGTAACCCCTGAAATCAAGGAATCTAAGCCTCATGATTTCCAGTGATCATTTTCATCATCGGTCTAAGCTTTATCATCAATGAGAATACGCACTACATGCGAAATCTTCCACCTCTTGGAAGACATCATCACTCTTTATTCAAATTAGCTGCGGCTGAAGTATCCGGGAGAAACACCATCTGGACCAAATATTCGAAAAGCCAATATTAATGCCATATGCTTTGCGATCTACTCAAAGGACTGGATTGTAAGTCTGCTGCCATATTCGGACCCTACATAGAGACATTTAAAGTAACTGTGTACCTAGGTGTGCTGAATCAGCATCTCATGGCCTGTTTTAGAAATGTCGAAAACTCTGCCTTTCACACAGATTAACTTAGAAATTCGTGGATTAGTTAGACGAAATCTTTTGGACTTCATAGAATTCAGTAAAGCCTTCAAAAGTGCTTCAGACAACACAACTAATGAAACAGGGAAGCGTTAAAATCACAGGCGATTTTTCCTACTTGGACGAAGGAGTTCCTCATCAGATGCTAGAAGGGAGTTAGTGTCGACTCATGACTCACTTTCCAAAAAGCATTACGTCACAGGTTGCTTATCTCGGCGTTATTGAATTAACTGAGCTGAGAAATTCGGAAAGGTAATTGAATGGTGATACTGAAAATATATCTGTTATTTTTTCCGAGGTAAGGATGCTTCTTATTAAACTAGCGAAGTGAGCAACTGTGAAGATCGGGCAAGCTTTGGAGCTGACTACATGGGGGACTGGGGAGAGGAAACTATTCCTTTCAGTACAGACGTCTATAAATCCTACTATCTTAGCAACTCGTGACTTAAAGGCTACAGCACATCGTTACTCACTAACAGCTTGCGGATTCATATATTTATAGGCCATACTTGGTATCTTCACTTATATGGTCACATAATGGGAAACGGGAGCTAGGTAGCCAGGTTTTGACTGATGGGCTTCTAATATACACTGGGAAGTGTGAGAAGAAAGAACACATTGATGACTACTAGATTGACCAACGTGTTATCCAACGGATGAATTAACTGGTGGAATGACAGCTTAATGTCGTCCTACAGGTAGAAAAGAGACTCATTATGGTTGTTTCTTATTTCTAGAAATTGTTAAGGACCTGATCTGTCTCTTACTTCCTTCCCAAAGGAGAGGACTGCACTATAGGTCACAGCAGGAAAGTTATAAAGCTAATGAGAAATTAAATTGTTTTGCAGTAGTTGCTGTTCTACTGAGTCACTAACCGACTATGGGAGACAGTTGCTTGCACATTTCGAACAAATTATCCAATGAAATGAACCAAATACCAGAATCCGTAAAATGATAACTTTAGATGCTTAAAAAACAACTGCTAACTAAATGAAACTAATTCAAAACGCAAAGAATTTATGAATCAATACCTATTGTACTTAAATATATGTCATTAACTTTGGTAACCCGCTAAGGATAGCACACCAGAGACCAAAGACTCGAGTGCGATCACATTTCTTTTCGCTTCGTGTTTGCCGTCTCTGGAACGCTTTACAGGCGGCCGTGACTACAGCGCCATCTCTGGAGATTTTTAAGCGGAAGCTAGACAATCATGCAGAAACGCAAGGTTTGTGTCTCAATGGCTTATCCTCATAAAATTTGAAACCACTCTGTCAGTGAATAAGCGTACAAACTAAATCCCCACGACCTATCCTGCCTTCTCTCACTCTATCTTTTCCTTAGTTCACCTTTATTATTCCACTTATCTCAACCTATATTATCTACACTACAACCTATTATTATTATTACTATTCTGCTTTTATGATTACACCGAATGACCAACGGGAGTTAGGTCAAACTCCATTCACGGCAGCAATACAATCCTAACATACTGCATACGACAAACCACATCTCGACCAATCCCCGCACCACTCCTCCTGGAGTCTACCAGAGCTAAAGCAGTCGAGTGTCGGGACTTACTACGCAGAAGCTCACCGAAGATCTGGAACCTCTACCTCACAATCAAGAAGCGAGCTCAAAGAAATCACTGGTTTATACTAGCTCGTAATCAGGATATTGGATATTGGTGCTGTCGCCTGCTTGTTTGAACTAATTGGCTGACCTTGTTCTAGAAACTGGTTACTACAGCAACGTAGCTGTTGCTCATTTAAAATGTTTCAGTACAGAACATATAATCCTGGTGTATTACTAGGTAACTGGTTTGAAGAGAGGGTTCTTGAGAAAGTAACACATATATTTACATCTATAACTGATTTAGGAGGAAAGAAGTGCACATTTATACAAGGAAGAAGGTCATGTTTCATCGACACATCTGCTGAATTTGATTTCCGAGAGTGATCCTGATCTGGTAGGCTTTTGTTTGATACCTTTAATAGGTGGAGATTGATTGCTCCGCCATGTCTACAGATGGATACCTCAGGTTTGGCTCAAATATTCAGATTGTTAACACAGGATCGTCTCCATATTATGTGAAATATGGGCTTTCATCCCCACGTGACCCTCATGTAGTCAGTCTTTCAGTGGATTTGTCATGCAACTTAAACTTGGAAATTTCGAACTGCGACGATAACTTTTTCAAATTTATGGACAAAAATGGTTATCTTAATGTGACAGCTTCCAAGAACATTCAACCTTCAGCTAAAAATATATTCAAAGTCTTAAGGTAGGTTTTCTGCTTGAATACACCACTGTACCTCAACAGCAGTCATCTTCGTTTTTGAAATCCAATGAATGGCACAGAGTATCCCGGCCTTTACTTACAGACCCAGTTTCTATGTTTTTTTAACTATTTTGGTTCACCTCTAAATAGTTTACAGAGTACTTGTCCTGTATCTTGTTGGTTAGAAACTGCCACAGAGTGATGTCACCGAAAATGACGGTACTAAGCTTTTGCTATTAAGTATTTAAGTTCGTAGTCTTTCGACTAAATTCTTTTGAATCGGTTGTTTTGGCATTGGCACATTCAATCTATGTATTCATTGAGATCTGAAACATTCAGAAACAGACCACATCAGCAAGGTATTGGCAAAAAATGCTCAATAATATCCGATAGAAATGGAAATCGTAGCATCTAACAGCTTCCCTTTCAAGCATATCATATTTTGATACTCACAGAATGAATATGAGGACTGCTCAAAGCGACACGTGATTTTTAGCCAATCTGCTGAAATAATTTTCGCTCACATCGTCCTTTTGAAAAGAAAATCCCTGCAACTAATAAAATAAGTTATCTGACTCTCATGAACCTTTATTCAACCTCTTTTTCTACTATAACTGTTGCTATGAAAGCTTTCGTTCCGTAAGCAATTACTTTCACACTCTTCCCTAGCTCCCCTCCTAGGAAACCCGAAATGATTAATTATCTTGTGCACACTGGAAGCATTCCTGTTGATCTTCGCCGCAATCCTAATACTTCGCCTTCAAAAGACCGTTTTAATACTCTGCTCGTAACCTGGTTTTGCATTTCTTGTAGAATACTCAACTGTAATTATATTTTGGTATTGCTTAATATTATTCTCTGATTCTAATTATCGTCTTTCGTTATATTCTCAAGTTACTGCTTAAATATGTGACTTCAGGGAAAACGTGAGCCTACGTGTTTGACCCATGACAGTTTGTAGGGAGAAACAAAAATCAACTCATCATAAGCTAAAATGGATTGCGCAACTGATAAACGTTAACAGTTATGTCCCAATAAGCAGAAAATAATTCTCATCTCTTGTCCTGAGATGAGAACGCATTGCATATGTATCGATGATACATTGGCCTATGAACTAGAATTCTTAAGAAAGACTCTAGCTGATCTTTTCAATCGAAAAGCATCTTACGAAAAAGACCAACAGTCCGCAAGACCTGGATATACCTAGAAATCAACTAGTTGTTCATCTGAAGTTCTCCAAAACCCACTATCTATAGCAATTTATAGAGCGTTGCCTGCTGCATCTCTACACTGCTTCTTCCTCACACAAGCCGTTGTTCATCAAAGAGTCAGAAACAAGATCCCACTGTCGGCAATTTATATGCCCACTCACCGATTCGCTTGCACCTGTGGAACTTAGTACATATCCCGTACCAGCACGAGATTGTTTAGGTACTCCAGTAAGCACTTAATAGTGTGATAGTTGAAAAGATAGCTCAGAACGGTCAAAAGTTCGAATCCGCAGTGTTATTACTTCTGGTCGGAGTCACATATGAAGTACGTGCAGGCCGTTCAATGGGATTTTCATTACCTCCTCTTCATGCAACTGAATCTATAGTAATTCATAAGGAAAAAGCTGAACTTCGTGTATAAAAGCGTCTTATCCTTCTTCTCTTTCTGTCCTGGCGTTAGAGTCAACCTAATTTCCCTGAATTGTAGTATAATAATTTTTAGACAATCGCTTCATCTTTTATAACCAGTTTACAATCCTTTATTCTATCGTTTTACTATTAACTATTTCCCAATGATAATTCATCACTTAACTAATAATTTCTTAAATCTCCAGACTATTCACCGCTTTCTGAACACAACTATTTCTCATATACTCTGATTTATTTTGTTATTGAATGACAGTCACTTCTGATCCATGTTTTCAGTTGACATTGCACATATAAATCCTTAAAAATCTTTAGATCTTTGATTTGAAGTTATGAAAAAGGTCTCTTTGCCGACTTATGTGTTCTCAACAGAACCTAACAGCACAACTTCATCACTCGACAGTGACGAAATATCGGAGCTAAATTTATACTTCGTTAGCTACAATTAGCAAGAATTATCGAGGATATTAAGATATTTTCTGTTCCCTTAATGAGATAACCGATAGCATATAATACAGAGTCATAAACTGTAGCACTCTGATATAAAATAGCTGATTATGCAGTTATATCACTCGTCAAATATTTCCAGTCGGATATTTAAGACACTAAAGTATTTGACCAATAATAAAGTTAAGTGCAGTATCCTATCACTTAAATCTTTTGTTACATTTCACTCAAACCCCAGTTTTCGAAATAAAAGGCACAAATGAGTGGAAATATCTTCAATGAATTGTAAACGCCTTGAAGAATACAAAATCACAGAGTGTACACTCCCAAAAAGTGGCCGTTTTGATTAAAACTGATTTTTGATCAAAGCCTAGTATTGCTGAATAAAATTACAATGAAATCAGAGAAGGTTTTTTATTTAATGGCTAGGAAGCACAACATATAAACAAAACCATAGCCTCTGTCATCCTATATACACTATCCTTATTTACATGTCAAGTACAGTAGCCAATGGGGTTTTATAATCTATTTATGTCAAATAAAAGGTTTCCTTGGTTCAGTTTATCTTTTATAGCCTTCATTTTTGACCCAGATGAATTTGTGTCACTTTTCTTCCCTGATTTATTTTGAACATTATAAATACAATTCCCGTTTGTAGCATAATCAATACTACCATTTTCATTTTCGTCTATTACTTGTTTATTCCGATTTAAGGTCTACAGTTTACCAAAAAGTCCAATAGTTTTCTTATGACTGTTATTAGACATTTATTCTCCCCCCCTCACTTAACTTTACACTCATATGTAATCTTAACAGAAATCTACACTAGTTTATGGTGATGATTCAGGTAATACTTGTATAGCTCTGCTATTCTGCTTTTCACCTTAATTGCTCCTATAAATGAGTATGAATTTTGCTACTCGTAATTGTTTCAAGTGCTAAGTGAAATGATTTCTTAATTTAATTATAAGTTTGAGGAGAAATAACTTTATAACTTTCATAGACAGGCTTTCAATAAGGACGAGACAAAAAAACAGTGTGTTGAAACGTTTTGGTAGTTAAGAAAGAACTTCCTACATCATCTTTAATTTTTTGACATACCTAATGGTCACACAAATAGAAACATATATCTTTGGTCTCATACGACCAGGAATCTGTATCTGTCCATAATAAGGTGATACATGTGAAGTATTCATGATAAAATTCATAGGTATTTAAAATCTTGGTTTACCTTATCATGTTGACAATAGTTTAATAAAAACTTTTATTTGTTGATTTTTATGTTTATTTATAAAGTTTACGCGGGAATCAAAATGGTCGAGTAATTCGTTATGGTGAACCAATAATTTTAGCCTTACAACCAGACATTATTTCGTTAAAATGCCCTACCAAATTGCAGGATAAATTGATCAAAGATCAATTTTTGTATTTGGCCAGTGATTTAAAACACATAGGTGATCCGAATTTACAACCAGAAGCACAAGATCTATTCTTTGAAGTTGGCACACCAACATTTTTATCACAATGGAGGCTAGAATATGAAGATCCACATTTAAGGAGAGAAATGGAAGGTAGACCTGTTAAAGTACGTGCAAGAAGATACTTTTTAAAAGCCTGAAGTGATTCTTACGTATCAGTCTAGTAACAGTAATCTATGCCATTTGACATAAGGGAAAACAATTAGTGAATTTAAAACAATCAACTACTGTCAAAAGAACAGTATTTACGGAATTCGTAAATTTCGGTAGGAATCCTCAGCAACCATTTTCATTTATACAGTTTTTTTAAGAGCGAATAGGTACAAATAAATGAACATTGTTACAAAAAAGTGTTTCAATCTCAACAAATATATAATCTGTAAACAACAAGTGATAAGAATGGTATTTGTGGAGGTATAACAATAAACTTTGTATACTGTGGTAGAGTATAATTCCATTGTAGGTAAAATTTATTTTGTTAAAGTCTCACAGTATTATACAGTAACATCCATTAATGACCTTTCGAGCACAATTTATCGCTCATAATCATATCAAGGTCTGAACCTAGATTTCGTGTTAGTTGTCATTCGTCAGAAAGGCGTAACTACAATGTTGATGGAATTCATGTCCCTTCTCAGATTCCAACCCGCGTCAACTAGTGCTGCAGTCAGAGACGTTACCACTGAGCTATTCGGTTACCATCTTGATATGATTATGAGCGATAAATTGTGCTCGAAACGTCATCCGTAAATATTACTGTATAACACTGTGAGACTGTCAAAATAAATTTAACCCATAATGGATATTTATGAAGCATTCAGCTGACCAGTCAGTCCTACCGAAAGTTATGAATTCATTAAATGATGCTTTTTTTCGCCGGTGTTGCTTATTTTAAATTTTAAATGTTTTCATTTTTCGAGAGAACTTAACATTTGCGATTTAATTGAGTTTTTTAAACACAGGCTTTAAAGAGAGATTCACGTATTTATATTCTCTGATAGTCTCTTCATTGATAAACATAATTTGGATTCTTGAAATACTGAAGGCCATACCTCAAACTTATACCGAGGTTAAATCATTATTGCCAATGAATTTAAACGATAAAAGAGATAATATATACTCAGTTGAGAAGAAATGTATTTTTCAACTACATCAAATTATTAAGTTAACTGAATTCTAAAAAAGACAACTAATGAATTAAGGTAGGACTTAACATTGAAGACGATTAGTTCAAATTATCGTGCTTTAGAAAGGTATATATGTAAGAGAAGAGGACAAAAGTTAAATAATATTAAATTTGAAAAACATGTAAGTGAAAAGGGAAAGATCAAAGAGTGGGACTGTTCATGGATTTCAAGATGATAGAATTAAATATATCAGCATTATTGTGAGCGACATCGAGAGGTTGTATCGTCAGTCTGCGACTACTGACCTTTGATGAAAACCTCCTTTTTTGACTAAGATGAGAAGTCAGTGACTTCATAGATTGATGCACTGTTTCATTTCCACCACACCTAACTAACTACAGCCCACTCACTAAGTGTGAAACTTGGACTATGGCAGGATGGACATTTAAGTAATTTCAAGTGTTGGTTTGTAGGGATTTGTTTGGTTTCAGGATTTTATCATGAGCTGACACCAGTTAGAGAACCACTGGGAAACCTGGGAGTACTAAGCAGCTGTTTCGTCCTAGTTTAGGACTCTTCATCAGTACACACCCGACGGAATTTGAACCCATGACCTTCTGGTTACAAGGCGAGCTCGTATACCATTAAGCTACTGGGACCCGATCTAATGGCCCATGAATTCTAACTTTTGCCAATTCACGACATAGCGCGAACCCTAGCCAATGCCTTCGGAGGGTATTTGTCCTCACACCCGATCGGCTGCACCCTACTGGTCACGAAGAGTGGGGGGAGTAAATAATAGATAGTTATAATAAAACAATCCTCTCCGAAAAGAGGTGACCATTAGATTATTAGCGTGCTTTATATGGATAAAATACTCACAAATACATGCAAATATTATAGTCACTGATCACAGAAACCCTGGGCACTTGTAATACTAAATTAATATTGTTTAACAGAATGCGCAACCATTTATCTTCCTTTGTCTTGATCCTCAAATGTACTGGTTGAACTGTAATACTAAGCTCACAAAGGGATTTAAAATTCACTTCATTCACACATTGTTTGAACAACTTTACAATTGTAGAAAGAAAACAGGAAAGCATTCTATCGTATAATTATTTAATACTCAGTTGGACTGCATAGGTAGGTCCCTGAGGAGGCTAAGAACCAATGGTTAGGGGCTGTTGGTGAGAAAGTTCAAAATCGTTCTCAGTGCTACAGATTCATTTACTCCTTATGATCTCCCCAGATCCACTAAACACCTATACATTTTTGTTACGACTCCTTCTCTAGCACAATTCTACCAATTACAGTTTTTCTGAATCTCTGCATGCAGTGCGCAACTTAAAGTGATGCATTTTTGTGCAAAGTCCTATTTCGAAACTTTGTCATTCAGCAGATTTAAAGCGAGTCGGGGCTGTGCTAAATTCTGTCAGTTTAGTGATCTGTGTATGCATTCTTCGATTAAAAAAGTTATATTTGTACCTAATTTTAGGACTGAATAGTCTTAAACTGTCTGCACTAAACTTCTGCATCAGAATATAAACCGATCAATGGAGAAATCTAAGTAGAAGTATATCGTATCAAGTTAGGACAAATTATACAAGAAATCTGAGCAAAGAAATAATAATTTTATCGCAAACAAGTGTGATTATCAATGGACAGAAAATCGATAAACAATGTTTATTTAAAATCCTTTGAATTTTTGCATCTCAATAAAGACATCAGCTCTGAGATGGATAGACTCGCCTGAGAAGCATAAGTTGTTCCTTTGTGAAGGTCAGAAAAATCTGTTGCTACCAACAAAACTTATCATGAAATTGTAATAAGACAGAGATATGTATCGATATTAAAAGATTAATTGCCTTTTGTGTAGAGAAAGCCTAATGGTGTAGAGATTCTTCAACTGAGAAAAACCCTGTTGTTATAACTGGCGTTACCAGTACAACCTTTGTTGTTTATTTCAGTGCATAGCTGCAACAAATATATATATATATACAGTAGGGTACATCAGACTGAAGTTGAGGCAGTAACTCATCGAATAAGACATTGCGAATAGGTCGCACTATGTCGTGAATTGGCAGAAGTTAGAATTCATGGGATTGGGTCCCAGTGGCTTAATGGTATACGAGCTCGCCTTGTAAACAGAAGGTCATGGGTTCAAATCCGGCGGGCGCGTACTGTGAAGAGTCCTAAACTAGGACGAAACAGCTGCTTAGTACTCCCAGGTTTCCCAGTGGTTCTCTAGCTGATGTCAGCTCATGATGAGATCCTCCATTCAATCATATATATAGAAAGTGAACGAGTTGTATCACGTTTTCAAGTTACCTAAGTAATCTTAATAGTGCCGCCAATATATTTTGTAGAATAGTAAAATGTTGCTGTCCCTATGGTAAAGTATACAAAATGCATCGTGATAATGTCAATCAATCTGGTTTCAAAAACCTTGAGAAGACATTTGCAAATCTAAATACTTCTGTTTATGAAGCAGAATCTGAAATGTTTCACTAAAGCACTATGGGATTCATCAGCATGAAATTCAGACGCATTTTACTTTAATTAACCCTTCAGAAATACTCTTCAAAGCTTCTATATCGAGTTAATTAAAGAGTGCTGAAAGATTTAAAAGCATATCTTGATTTGAATTGAATTCATTCTACTTTTGTGTTGATAACTATCACAACGGGGAATGCGAAATTTTCTGATTCATTTAAAAGACATTAGAGGCTAAAATATTTCTCACAGTCACCGGAAGCGGTAACTTCTAGTGCAGATATCCGTTCATCGGAAGGATGAATGTAATTATAATATTGGAAAGGCAGAGTTGACAAATACTAACTTCTCTTCCTGGACACATCAGACTGCTTCCCAGTCACTACTGACATTTGACCTTTTCCTTATTACTGCATAGTTAAGTTTAAACACACATTTCATATGATTTAATAATAAAAGTAGTATTCTGGGATGTTCGGTTCAGGTTGATTAGTTTCTAAGGGATGAAATAAAAGACTGCGAATTACACAAAGTTTAATGAGATAAGACCTCAATACACTACTGAATAACAAAACGTCTAGACATAAGCTAGTAGTTAAAATCATTTCATAGTTAATTTGAAAAAAAACCTTTTTACACTTCTTGCATTGCAACTCTCAAGTTTGCAGAAACATCTAGTCACAGCGATCCCGCAGTTAAATGAATTGCCTGAATATCTGTAGATGTCTTTATGAATATTTGATGCATCAGATCCCAGATTTACCTATTTATTTTGATAATAGGCTGATCAAAAGCTGCTGATTAAACATGTTCGAAGTAATAAAGCATTGGCGTTAGAACCAAAATTTACAGTTCGGTAAGTGAGATTTTCAACTTCACTTTTAACAGAATACATTCACTGAGTGTTCTGAATCGGAAGGTTTTTAAAACATGCATTGAAATTAGGCTGTCGAACTAGCAGTAGTTGTTACCTTTATCAAAGGTTCGTGCCAGCTAAGAAGATTTGTTAGCAAGATACACTGGCAGAACTGTTTCTTCTTGGTTTATGACAGCCTACCATGATGAGAAATGTAAAAAAACGGAAAGTTATCATCCATTTAATAAATTAGCCTGAGATAATCTGATGTATCTACCGAACTTCTCTAACTTGCTATAGAGTGTGACTGTTACTTAACGAATGTAAATTTTCATTGTCAGAGATGGTTATGAGAATCAGGAAGAAATCCGGAAGCAGCACTTTTATTTAATTTACTTTGGAAATTATTTTCACCTAAAGAGAGATGATACGAATTTCAGTAAGCGAGAGAAGACCTGAAGTAAACAGAAAAAGTATGCAAAACATAAAGTTTTTCCTAAAAACTCTTGCTCAGGTACATCTATTCTGTGTCAGATACAGAAGTTGGTATGTGATTTTTGTCATCTGAGAAGTTTCAGTTCTAAGCTTCTATGTTATTGAATCTTTTCTGAGAAAAAAAAACAGTCACTGACTTCATCTTATAAAACTGTTTCTTTGATGAACCGTACTACAGAGATTTGTCATTTTTATCTTATCCAAGTTAATGCTGTAACCTTAGAAAAATAGTGGGTTGGTTCACTCAACTTACAGTCTGGCTATATTCGTAGATTGAATGTTCCAACAACTTCCCTCTTGGCTCATTCTACTTGCTTTGCATATCTGTCTCATGGGAAGAGGGTAATACTTGAGGTTACCTGCACGTAGTTTTCCTGTTCAAATATGTCTCCATAAAATATACACACAAATCCGTAAGGAATTTAGACAATGTGCATTTTAGCAAATTGGTCACCAGTCTGCATAGAGGTATAATCAGAAGGATTTGCATAATTGAAATGACTTTACTAGTGGCAAATATTTCGTCAGGCAAACACGAATAATTGAAATTCTTAAGAGTTAAATAATCTAACCAATGGATGGTAACTAACCTAGTTCCTTGGGCGCGTCTATTGACCGAAACGTGTAGGCAAGCGTTCAATGGACTGACTAAGCTAGGTGCATTGTTTTATATTGGTGATGCAGATCAGTAGATTTCAATCAACAGATCACCTTCCAAATGAATTTCATGCATGAGGATACTAATCAGTGGTTTGGAAATCGTACCAAGACTGATATTTTACTCATTACCCGAAATTCTTCTATGTTGTTTAGAATTCACAGACTTCGATGGGTTCATGAAGACCTCATATATGTCCTGAGGGTTGCGAATACAACTTGTCGACGACAGCCCACAGGTACAAAGCTAGATCTAGTACTTTCTTTTCTTTATTAGTTCACATCTAATTAAAATACATCTGTAACAATAGAAGAAAAAGGGCAGGCAACAGATCGTTTATGAAGGAAATCAACACATATTTATATATTTTCATGTATATTATTATATATTATTTAAGCAAACAAACACAGTCTTCTGACTGGTTGTTTCTCACAGAAAGTTAAACTTACATCTCTTTGCGGCTGTTTCTTGAATGTCAGATCATCTATATTTTAACTGTATCCGCCCACGCAGAATCTGCTGTGGTTGGTTGTTGAATCAGTCTTTGTTCACATTTTTCTCATGACCAATATTGGGGACATAAACATTGACGTAAAATACCGCTTACCAATTTTGGCTAGTAGCCAGCTATCACCACACATCAAAGAGAACAGTAATGTCATGTCATTTCATCTACTGACCAAATGTTACGTCTGATTGACAGATTTCAACTAAGCCTTTTAGCCTGACAGACAAGCCTGTAACAACCTAGTATCTGGTTAATGCATATCAGTATTTCTTGCCGAGGAATTCTTCACAAAAATGTGTTGGTGTAGAAATGGGAATGGTGAGAAGGGAATGGTTCATGATTCTCACTGAGAATTAATAAAATTTTTAAAATATAGATTCGAAAAACTCTAATTACTACACAAACAATATAAAAATCATCAAGGTATATCAGTCGATACTTCTAAAAATCACCTATAGATATTTTACCCGCTAGATAGCAGACGAAAACCTTAAGCGCATTTGACGACTGATGGTCAGGATTCCAAGCGAAAATGTCTAGGGATTCACTGCACACCAAATTACCTAATTCAGTCATGAGACATCAGTACATTTAAAGACAAACTGTTGTCTCACCTTAGTAGACCTTTTTTCATTTCATCTCTGTCTAAATTTGTTGACAGCAATTTAGTTAAGTAGAATGATGGGAAGATATTGAAGCGAAGTGCAAAAAAATATTAGAATACAAAATGTCTAACGGAGTTTACATATTCTTATGCTTTTATCAGTTTGACAAGTGACTAATTTCTACCTTAACTATTTTTCTTTCTTTTTCTATTTTTAGTACCTTATTTGGTAAAGAAACTTGTCTCAGTGTACGTACGTACTATGATTCTCATAAACTGGAGCGTGATGTCAATGTATGGGTTCTAGCTTCAGCTAGACAACAAGGTTTATCATGTACCTCAAATGAACAGACACCACATAAAGTTCTCGAGAATACTTCTTTAGAGGGTGATTGTGTTGCCGGAGCTAATGAATGCGTTGAAAAGAATGTTAATTTTGAATAGAAAGCTGATTGCATGAGAAGTCAGAAAACTGCAGCAAACTGAATGGATGACTACTTAATACTTTACAAGTAGTTAAGCGTTTATACGTGATTTTCTCTTCATGACACTCAACAAACAAAATTTAAAACAAAACTGTATTGAATCATGTATATTGTTGAAATGACTTTTGAAGTTTTCATTAAATCTGTAATGATCTCATAGTAATTCAGAATTTAAAAAACACTAAATCAAATTCCTTTTGCTTTAATTTATTCATTGGATTTTGTGTTGGTAACCGAATTTAGGGTTATTAATAGAAAGTAATGCATTTTTTGTGTGTATAGTGATCTGAGAATATGCTAGTAAGTCGGGCTCAGAACCATCCAACATTTTATCATACTGAGTAGTTTTTTATTATAATCCCCTAATGAATAAGTGAATGAATAATTCGATTTGGTGATGACTTTACGCCCATTGGATAATGCTTCGACGTTTGAAAGAATCGGTGGGGGGTTCGAGTTTCAATGGGGAGGGACGCCAACACTCACTAGGGATGGGTTAGGACTGGGTGGGAAATATTTACCATAGATTCCACTTCTAGTCATCATAAACCAAAATTGTATCACGTCAAACTTCAAACATTTTTGAAGTGTCTATTCTCGGAGGCAGTATAATCAATCGTCTGGAAGTGCAAATTAATCCAAGTACAAATATCTTACATAGTGTTTTAAATAACTTTTTAAGGCTCCATGGTTATAAATTCATTAATGTTATAATGTAGTAACCAGTAAAAAGGCAAATCAAACCTACATTAAAAAAATATTTTGCATACAAGTACAAGATGGTATAATAGTCCGTTAGTTTCGATTATCATTTAAATGCTTACAAAATGTACAGTCATCAAGAAAATAAGGCAGAATGAGATTGCCATAAGTATTACTTGTGTTATATGTAGAATAAAACGTAGCTTCAAGGCTTCCTGTCAATTGCATCCAACTATCTTATGTCAACAATTCAAAGTGCACCGTGATTGCGAGCCATCTAGCATGGTACGGCCACACTACAAACGCGATTGGTAGAATTCAGTCTTCACTAAACATAGAAATAGAGGCATGACATTAGTTATGGCGCAATCAAATTATTCAATACAGTCATACAGGTGGTAGTCGATTGCGAGCTCGAATAACTCAGTGGTAACATTTCTGACTGCAGCACTGTGTGACGCGGGTTTGAATCTCAGAAGGGATGTGAATTCCATCAAGATTGCAAATATGTCTTGCTGACGAGTGCAAATAAGCACAAAATCTAGGTTTATGGCTTCCAACCATCTAATAACCGGAAAGAAGTGTTTTCAAAATAAGATTAAACGACTATAAACAACAGAAGTACAGGCTTCAGAAGGCGAGTTATATTCACCGATGATGAGACGAAATATGAATACTACAAAAATTTACACCAACATTTAAAGTTCCTGTATTTAAGTATGAAGGATGACAAACAGTAATTTAAATGATTATCAAAAACAAAGGACTATTATTTCATCTATGTGAATTTTCACATTAATTTGAGAATAATTATCTCCTTTAAATCTCACCTTGGTCATAATCTCAGATTAGATAATAATTGGAACTATACCAACTTATGGATATAAATTGCGATTTTACCGTTACTGACAATAAAGTCACCGAAAAAATATCGTTGTTGAACTTCTTGTTTTCTCTGCAATGACCTTTTCTTTTTCATCTTTTTTTTGGCTGTGAAAATCTAAACGAATACACTGCTAAACAAATATCCTACGTTGAACTGTTCATTATTTATGTCTAACACCTTAAATGTGTTTAGCAATACTTTAGATCTTTGATTGGACACTAGTCCGTAACTAGTGCAGTGTGTCTAGTCCTTTGTATTTTTTTCCTTCACGTTCCTCAGTGGAACATAGGGCGGCTTCAAGCTAGTGGCTTGAAGTTTCTGTAGCAGTGGTGTTTATTTTTACAGGATGGGGTTGCTAGCCAGCCTCATGCCCAACCTTTCCTCTTTACCAGCATTATTTCTGGTTCAGCGAAGTCAAGGAGTACGTCTGTGGCAGGGGATCGAACCCCGGACCATGTGAATGTTCGGCGAGCGTCCTAACCGCTACACCACCGACGCACAGTCCTTCGTTTGGTACCGAGTGAATTCTATCAGTCACGTTTGCAGTGTAGCCACCATGCTAGGTGGGTCGCCATCACTGTGCACTTTGAGTTGTTATTGTTGCACCAACTAGCAGAAAAAATAGGTCAAAGGAGTCCTTTCAATTGCCTCAAACCGTGTATTATCAGTACTTTATATCATTCGACCTCCTTTCAGGGGAAGTTACTGCTATAGATTCTGTATAATTTTATTCCTTAGTTTTCATTGCCCCATGAAACTAATCTACTCAAGTAATTTATCTTCGGCCTACTGCTATTCTGTGTCAACACTTTACTTGTATATATGGTCTTTTCTTGAATAAAACATTTTTTCCAGTAGTCATGTGTTAGCTTAGTTCTCCGATATTCACACGAATCAGTAAAAAGTAAACTGAAGCTCAAGTGTTACAATTTCGTTGTTATGTTCATTCACATTGTGACTCATTTCAATGTGATCAACACTCTCTATTTACCTTTCAAATAAACAAACAAAATGAGCATTTCTAGTACAATTAGAGTAAAAGATGGATCATACACCGCTCTTTCTGTTTCATAATTCACTAGTAATACACAACAGGTTCCTAAACTACTTACACATTTGCCTACTCATTTTAGATTATACCGACACAAACCTTTGAACACATCCTTGTATAGAATTTATTTCAACAGTTGAGAGATATATGAGGCATACTTAGTTGCCTACTTGTTTAAATTTCATCTCGTACTACTAATTATATTTTTAAGCAATGATGTGTGTGTCTGTGTCAGTGACTGAATAAGATTCAATGACTCATTCGTTCGATTAATGCTGTCAAATATCTTTCATATTGTTACTAATTAAAATGAAATCAATTAAAGAGAATATCATAACATCTTTGATAGGCTAGATTGAATGTTTTCTCTGAAGATATAGAATTACACTTTACATTGAAACATTTATTCAACTCACAGTAATGAAATGAAACTGAGTGCTCTAAATTTCATTCTAATTAATCAGCTACAGTGAATACATTGTGAAGTTTAATGACTATCACAGTTTTTGGCCCTAAGTACACCTCAGATGTAAATTGAATTATGTATCAAGTCCTAAATACTTCCGAATGAAGTTATGAAATATATATATATATATATATATATATATATATATATATAACGACTACATAACAGATAACCTTGAAAAGAAATCGGATTGCAGCAGAGGTACGTTGTCTCTTCACAACCACACCTATTTTATGTTCGAGAAATAAGGATAAACTACCTAAATTCGCCTTCTCTATGTGTATCTACCAGTTGGACTGCAGCTGCGGAGCCAGCTACATTGGGCGTACAATTAGGCAAGTTCATCGTCGTATTTCCGTACACCATCCAACGTGGTTAAGTAAGGGACAAAAAAGATCTATTCGTAGTTCTATTTTAGCCCACCTCGTTGATACCGAGCATAAGATTGATGTTAATATAGCATTTAAAATTATTTATCGCATTCTGACTTATCTTAATTTTGCTCTACCAGTTCGTCTTCTACAGACGGCTGAAGCAATCGGAATTCACCTGAAGAAGCCAAGCCTATGTGTACAGAAAAAATTTGTACAGCCACTTTCCCTACCGTGGCCATTGTCACAAGAATGCATAAACAGGACTACGTCGCCCCCTTCCGCCTAAACCTATAAAATTATATTTGTCTAAATTATATATTTTATTTTTATTTATTTTGACCACTTCGTCTTTAATTTACGTGTTATCCTTGTAAAATTAATTTATTCTATCCATTTCTACCTTTTAAATCTGTATTGATTTTCTTCGTTATCTATTAACCCATTGACATTTTGACACTGTTTAATTATTGTTAACAAACTTATCGCCACTTGATTGGCAAAGTGTTGTTGCATATTGTAATAAAAATGCTATATATATTAGAGTAGAGCCAAAGATGAAGATCTAATTGAAAAGTAAATGTTTCTTCGCTCAATCTTTCTGTTTCTAAAAGCATCAAATGCTAAGGAAATCGATTTGTTACCAGGCACACAGTTTCTTAACAGTATGTCGAGGTTAAAATATGAACAAATCAAGCTGACTTACTTAATTGTGCGTATGTAGTTCGAAAGTTAAAGAAAAATGCGATCTTTCACTATGAGTATCCTGTCTATTGGTAAATTATGAAATGCGATACCACAAATCGATACAATGGTTTTCCATTTTATCTAAAAGTATAAAAAATTCTGCACTAGTCCTTTGATGAATGTCAGCATGCTTAAGATTGAAGAATAGACTGCCGCATCTAACGTGTAGTCAGTTAAATCCCCATAAACGAAAACTTGGAAATCTCCCCAATGCTCCCTAGCGTTTGACTACAGGGTAAAAATGCCAGGAGTTCTAGTGCGAAGTTGTGACCATTTGGGTCTAGGAGGTTGGAAATGAGCATGAATACTTTTGGCCAAGTTAAACTTTAATCACCACTAACTACCAATCAGCAAACGACGTCTAATTATCCGATGAGATTCACGAACGTTAATCTAATGTTGTATAGCGATTGATTCACTTAAAATGCGTGCCCTTACAAGGTTACGGTTGCAATTCGAGTAGGATAGTGTTTTCCAGCATTGCCTGAATTTAGGGTTGCTCCGGAAGGAGAGAACTTGTTTGTGTGGTGGTGTCATGACTTTAAAAAGCTTTAGCAGGTCACCTGATGGATTCGTCCATCGTTGTGCAATATGCTTGAAGCGGAGTTATCAATAGAGAGGGTAACCTGATAATTTTAATATTTAGTAGGAACTTTTTTGCAAAGTCACACCTCTCCTTGACGCAAATTTTGTATATCTGCAACTACTAGGTCTCGAGATAGCCAGTGAGAGCTGCTGCTGCTGGGACAGAGAATAGCCTAGTGTCAACAGTTCAATGGTATCAGCATTGCAGAGATATTGCTTCGTGGTAAATGGAGAAAATCACTTCGTTGTTGGATGGAGAAGACGTTGTTGTGCACGTCGATGAAACTGTGTTGGTGAAAAAGAAACACAACCGTGTTCGGCAGCGAGCGAACTATATTTGGGTAATAGGTTTGTATGACACCCCCCTCCGAAAGGGATTCGTCGAA